GTTCTCTGCTGAGTCTGGTTCCTCTCAAGGTTTCTTCCTATCACCATCTCAGGGAGTTTTTCCTTGCCACCGTCGCCCTGCTTGCTCATCAGAGACATCATACACACACACTTCATTTTACTTTGTTTGTGTAAAGCTGCTTTGAGACAATGACCTTTGTAAAAAAGCGCTATACAAATAAAAATGAATTGAAAATGAAATTGTTTAGTAAGATAAGTAATATCACATAGAATGAAGGTGGCCTGAGTATTTCACCCAAAGCATTTTAGCCCTTATAGACTACCTCCTCATTACAAATTAGTATCACTTACTAAATTTAAAAACAGTCCATGGAGGCAATACATTCCAAGTTCTTCTGTCTTATTATACTGATCTACAAGGATGGTGTGAAGAACCTGAATATTTGAGTTGGTTACATAGGTGTTCGTTTGTCTATCTGTTGTTTGGAAGCTTTGTCTTTACCTTCCTACTCCTTATATTTAAACCATGTGGAGGATGAAATAATGGTTTATCCACCCTACGCAGTGCACTATATGCTGAAATTGTGAGGCATTTGTGATTCAGCCAAATGCTGATAACGTCTAGGAAAAGTCATGTGACCTAAATCACGTGCTATCTTTTAGTGACTTGATTGACTATTGATTAAAGACAACATCAGACACATCATAGTCAATCTAATAGGAAAGAATATATATGATGCATTAAATATATATATTCTTTTACACCAACTCAATTATATCATTGCTTAAAAAGAGCCGCTGATTAACGGGAACAGAAACCGCAATGGTATAAGGTATAAAATTGGATGTATAAGGTGACGTTTATTTTTTTCAGAGATACTGAAATGGCTACGACTCTTACACTGTAGGCTACTGTAGTTTTACGTTTCTCGGAAGCAAACAGACTATTATTGATTATATATTCTTAAAAAAATCATACCTTCAGATGTAGTACTTTGACTTGTTCATACTGGATGAAAAGTAACAGAAGTCTACAGCCACTTGTTTAGCATTGTGCAAACTGCATATCAAAATCCTCACACACATCTTTGGCTCAATAACTTGCATTACTTTATATACACAGTTTCATAAAATTGCATCATATACGTACAATATGACCATCAAACTTTGGGCCACGCCTCATGCCTCAGTCTGATTCAGCTTCAAGATGAAGGTACAACTGGGTTTAGCTTTGACTATTTTTTTTTTTCCATTTGTCCATTTTTATAGATAACAGTGTGTTATCTGTGTCCGAAACCACATCAGCAAGTCTGTTTGAGATACTGAACAAATCAATAAAACTGTTTGAGCATGTTGTTTACACAGTTCTAACCTGGTAGCTATGAACTTTCTTTACTTATTAGTTTGATATCTGTATCAGCTCAGCTGGTAGCGCATGAGACTCGTAATCTCAGGATTGTGGGTTTAAGCCCTGCACTGGGCACCAAACCCAGCCACTGGGGTTACACAAGCTAGTGCACTCTCAGTGCCCATCCCAAGCCCAGACAAAATAGAGGATTGCATCAAGGAAGGGCATCTGGCGTAAAACCTGTGCCAAATCAAATATGTGGAACATAAATTGGACTTCCGTAATGGAGATTGTGATCTGCTGTGGTGACCTTTAATGGGAGCAGCTAAAAGAAGATGATGTCTACGAAAGCACTGGGAAAAAAAGAACCCAGAGGTAGAAATGTCAACACTAACAGCATGATGTTGTGAATTCTGGCTCCAGCAGTCCCTCAGTCTCAACTACATCACTCCAGTTCATAATTTGTCTCAACTACAGATGTGCACGGGACATTTTTTATCCATTTTGTTTGTACACGCGTGTGATATTTTCTAACACATTTATTTAGTTCTATTTCCCAAAATATAAACAAATGAGTAGCCTAATTTAACCCACTGCGACCCTGACCAGGCATTTACTAAGGATGCTGTAAAGGCATCATGTTTGTATTAATGATCGTGGTTTTTGTCCACTGAGCTTCATATATGACCGCTTGCTCACACCTACGCGAAAGTAAAAACCTCTCATTCACATGACTTTTTGTTGCACCCTGCAGGTTCCCAGTCCTGCATGAAACAGATGCCCTATGAACCTTCACTTACATCCCTATTACTAGCGATCGACACTATATTGTCCACAGTATGTGGACACTCGAGTTCTTCCATTCCAACTTTGGCAAACCATGTCTTCCTGGAGCTCACTTTGTGCACAGGGATATCGTCATGCTGGAACAGGTTTGCGTTCCAGTGAAGAGAAATTGTAATGCTACAGAATATATAAAGACATCATATGCACTGTGTGCTTCTAACTTTGTGGCAACAGTTTGGGGAAGAACCACACAGGGGTGTGATGGTCAGCTGTCCACAAACTTTTGGCCATATAGTGTATATTGCTTCAGTGCAAAAACTAAATGATTGACTGACAGCAGTTGGGTAAGGGGAGGGAATTATTTAGGTTGAACTGTTCCTGTAGCTTTATCTCTGAAAGACTTCTCTAGTGTAGGGAAAGAATTTTAAAGTTGTCTTTATAAGTCAACTTTCTTCTAAGAAAGTCCAAGAAACTAATGATTTGCTGAAAAACAACAGAAAAGAAATTAGAATGGAAAGCCTCCTTGGATGTTATGATAATTAGCATCATCTTTTTCATCAAATTAAAAACACCACACACACACACACACACACAAAATTCACTCAAACAGCCAGTGGACTGTAGATTTCAAGATTCTCATTGGTAAAAGTGCCTCTTGCATCTCTACAGCTCCCCCCGGAGGCGAGCGTGCAGATCCTCCTGATCCACCTTCGATGTGTCTCCGTGCCAGCGATGGCTGGCGAGCAGCGCTGCGTTTCGCGCTGAGAGGGCGCTCATCTCCATCGACGACGCTGCCCACTCAATGGGGTTGAGGTAATAGAGGTTGTGGTGGAGGATGAAGCTTGGAGCTTGACGCTCTGGCGCTCTGTATGAAGGACACGCCAGCCAGCTCTTCTCCACGACACGCTCTCGTGAAACGAACAGCATCCTCAGCTGCTCCTCCGTCAGGGGCTCAGTAGAATAAACCTTCCACACTGCTGTCTGGCTGGCCGGAGGGCGCGAGTAGCCTGGCGTGATGTGGACAGGGTCCAGGGAGTTCAAGCTGGCAATGCCCAGATTCTCATTTTCCGTCATCAAAATGTCAGAGACGAAAAACTCGCTCGGATTCCGTCTGGCGTCCAGGTAGGAGACGTTGAGACGCCCGAGCACTAGCGTAGTCACTATCTGGTGGTAGGCCCCGGGAAAGTGTGAAGGCAGGGAAGGAGAGAAGCCTGAGAAACTGATATCAGACAGACCCTGGTGGAGGGGCGTGGCCAAAATCACAATGTCGTAAAGGGAGTGGGCGGAGCCAGAATCACCAACGTAGTTCACTTCATAAAAGTTTGCGATGGTGCCTGATTGTAGAAGCAAAGAGGTACAACAAGGGGGAAGTCAGGGTGATTTGCCATCTGAATATACAGTTGTGTGAAAAAGTTTGCATGCCCTCAGGACAAAATTAAGCATTTATTTTATAGAAACAAGACATGATTTTAAACATGTTTATGAATTAATACTAAGATATTAAAAATAAAAACAAAACCCACAAAATTATATATCAGTTGTCTTGAGTAAAATTTCTGTCACTATATTCGACAGCTGAATTATCCACATCTTCAAAATCTGAATCTCTGTCAGTCACTGGTCACCTGAACTAACCGTGGATTTTCTCGTAGCTGATAAAAAGAGAGCTGTACCGCTTTTAGAGGGCCTCGTTTTGATAGCGATGTTGGTCACACGTGCTGGAATGAGTTCGGCTTTGCTGTGATACAGAAGCCCAGAGCAGACTCTCTTATTACCTCCATCCACAGCCCAGAGGCCCGAGTCAGCGCACGACAGGGCCACGGAACCTGCACAGGAGAAATTACTGTACAATGCTGTTTCTTCTGGACTATCATTTTTTTCTCCTCAACTTACACAGTAAAGAGATATGTTATAATCAGCTCTGTGTTTTAAGGTTTTAAATTTATGCTCATTTGCTTGTGTTTTCACAGAAGGCAGCTAATAATACTGTTATATAATGACAAATACTAGGAAAGACTACAAAATCTACAGCAACACTCGAGGAGACCAATCCTTGCCTAATGCTAAAGGATATGTGTAAAAGCGTCATGGTTTGCGCAGACGTACCAACAAAGGCGTGCAGGCGAACGCTCTGGTGGTAACTAGCACGTGATATCGGGGTGACGATTTCATTGATGAAGGCCTGAGAGAAGCCCTGAGCCAGCATGGCCTCTTCCAGTGTCTGGTTGAGCAGAGCGAGAACCTCGTTGCCGCCCATGGCATGCAGCAGTCGCTCAACACTCGAGAACGAGTAGCCGAACTGCTGGTACTGATAAATCCTGCCAGGACGAGACGACCGCATTAAAGAAACGGTTCAGTGAGAAACGTTCCTCTTACCAAAAGGAGCACTGGCAGCATCTTCCTACAGTAAAAGTAACCTGATAAAATGGTGTCTAAACAGTTAGTTTAATATCAGCATCGGTACCAACAAGAACCAAAAAGTATGTACTCATCCTCAATCTGAAGAAAATGAAATCAGTACATTCCTACTGACAAATAACAGAAGTCAGTCTGACCAGAATGTGGACCTGAAGCTAATCATCACCCAGCACAGTATATAGTGTATAGTATACAGACAGTGCAGATATATTTAAGGACTGAACTTTATATTACAGATGAGAATGATTCACCTCATGACCTTGTCCAGAATCCCCTCCACCCACATGTGCATGCGAAGTGAGTTGAAGCCGTAGTGCCACAGCATGCGCAGGAAGTTCACGATGAACCAATCGCTCTCCTCAAACATCAGACCCTTCCCGTCAAAGATGGCCATTTTTGAAGGGACTCCAGCACGAAATGACAGACCTGATGGAGGAGCAGAGAAACTTCAGTAATCACGATCATTAGATTGAACACAGCAAAAAAAAAAAA